ATTGTGGTGATGGACAGAAAATACTGCACGGAAAAACATTATTATTTTTATATATTTATTGGTGTAAGGTGAGAATTTCCATCAAACGTACTACTCTGCTTACTTAAGCTACTCCCTGAAATTTGGACCCTGGAAGCTGAAAGTTCTGCCCTTTTGCCCTTCTGTTTTAGAATGATACAATGTTCACAAAACCATGGTACTTGTTGTAGAATCAAAGAATGGCTTAGTTTGGAAGGCACCTTAAATATCATCATGTTCCAATAGCTCCTGCTATGGGGAGCTCAATTTTAGGATATGGAGCCTTTGGAAAACCCTGTTATGCCCAGTTCTCTGTGCACCTGTGGAATAAAAAAGCAATCTCTTCCCTGGAGTCTTAGAGAATACTCTCATTTTTGGTAGCTTCAGAATATTGTTGATTTCATGGCGGATGGTGGGACAAGGTTAGGCATGGCACTAAACTACTGCTTCCCCATGACATTTACACTGGGATTTGTAGATAGTTCCATAGTGGGTTGTGGGACAACAGAGAAACATCTGGGCATTCATTTCCATCAACCACACTGGCACTTAGGTCTCTTGGGGATGTGAGTCAGCAGTGTGTGGCTCTAAGGTCCTGATGGAAAAGGGATCAGGAGAGAGCCTGGAGATTTCAGAGGGGTTTCTGGCTCTCAGCAGGGTGAGGCTGCTCCCAGGGCAGCCACAGTGGCTCTTCCAAAGCCACCAACATCACTCAGGGCCCAGGAGAGCCCTGTTGTCTGTCTCAGGCCTTTAATGATTGCTGCTGTATGTTAACAGGCCATACCACATATAGCCCGGCTATTGTCAGCGCTGATCCTTGTCCAACTGACGGGCTATTCAAAGCGCTTCTCAAGCCTCTCCAAAATCCCAGCTTGTTCTACCCCGATGACAGCCATCCCTCCCATTCGGAGTTCTCTTTGTACGCTTGATAACATGGTGGAAATCCCTTATTATGCTTCTTTTAATAATGCTTTCACATGGCAAGGGGACATGATGTTTTAATTTATGCAGTGCACATCATCCTTCGACAATTTGCTAAGAGGAGCCCTCGCGACCTAAGCTTGCACCGAATAACACAAGTTTATGCAAAACCAGTGGTTTCCAACCTGTGGTCTCCAGACCGCTGGGAATCGGCGGGCTCCTTCCGAGGGGTCACCAGGAGGTAACCAGGAAAGCAGAGCCGCTGCCGGGAGGTTCAAACGCGCCGCCGCTCACGGAGCAGCGCTGTCACCAGCGCAGGTCTGGGGCTCCCAAACTGCAAACTGAAAATCACTATCTCAGGGGTTTTTACTTTTTTACTCCTTTTTTTTTTTTTTTTTTTTTTTTTTTTTTTTTTTTTTACTGAAGAATCCCTCATTTTCTACTGGGCTTTCTGTGTCTTTAAATACCTGCTGAAGTCGATTAAAAGCAGTAAATTCAGAGGGGTAACCACACTG